GCAGAGAAATGTTCCGTGCAGGCAGGCGTACACCTCCTCACTGAGGTACTCCAGTAGCCGCGTGGTGAACTCAAAGTGCCGTGGAAATTGACGCACCAACTGAAACACCACGTCCATCCATTGCAAAAAGATGGGAGAAGGCTGCAACTTTGTGTTCGATTGCTGCGCCTCCGTGTCGGATCCGGAAACACCCGCATCGGAGGTGTAGCTGGTTTCTCCCTGCACCTGATGGCCACACCGTTCGGCAAACTTGTGGCCAAATGAGCAAAATTCTTTTTCTACTAGTACACTAAAACCGACGATGGTCCGATAGAATGGGTCCAACAGCAACATTGCGGTGGCGGTGCATTGCGGTGTGCGATCCCATCCATCGGTACAGTGCACGAGGCAGGAGTCCCCAAGGTCCAGGGAATCCGCAATCTTGTTGGAGCAAATTAACAACCTTTGAATGTGATAGAGCCATCCTGTCTCGTGAAGCTGCGAAAGAAAATTCTCCTTCGGTTGCTTTCCGTTGAACCGATGAATGAGGGCCTTCAACTTCGAAAAGGACTTGGAGACACTGTGAATGTTTTCAATGCCGTGAAACTTAACCTCACAGAAGTCGTGCGTAGCACCGCTCTCGTAGCCCCCGCCCATGGCAAGATTCGCATGGGCCGCGTTGGATGGTCGGCAATCAACGACGTAGAGTGTTCGTTGAGATCGCGTGGTTGACGTTGTGTCCTGGTGCGTGGCAGCGGGGAAACGCTGTGCCGGAGGTTCCTCCGATCCCGTGTCAAATAGGGAGGGTGGTGGTGCCTGTCGAGTGCTGATTGGCACGATAGGTACCACAGCAGGAGGCTCGCTTCTTGGTTCGGCGTTGTGGGCATGATAACCGCTGTTTGCAAACATGCGACAGAGCTCACCGTCCTGACGCAGCGCCGGCGACCTCGCCAAGGGCTGCGAGGATCGCGCAAGCACCGCGCCGCTTCCAAGATGCACAAAGGAAATGGCAGGGAAACGTGCTCGAGAGCGAGCCGCCATGACGTCTTCCAACAGCTCGTCACTCGCCGCGTTGGGGACAACCACACGGAACGGATAAGTTGGCGACTTGCCGTAGCTATTCTTTGACTGCTTAACACTTGTCAAACGAAACCATGGCCGCAAGTCTCGCTTGATACCGACGCGGGACACATCGCTGACACTTGGCACGGCAGTACCGGGGTACAATGACAACTGCCTCTCCAGCTCTCGGTCGGCGTCGAACAGATTCCAGCCGAACTCGACCATGTCTATGTGGTTCTCGAAACCACAACGACCACCATCATCCCCATTGGTCAATTCGTCGTTATTCTTATCCCTATTATTATTATCATCATCATTACTGCTATTATTGTTCTTTTTATCCTCCCTGTGATTTTCTTCATGAATATCATCATTATCACAAACGGCATCTTCACATAGTGCGGCGTAACGCTCCCTGTAGAGTAGGAAAGCCGGCATGCCCTTGAGTTGCGTGGTGTGGAAGTATCGCCAGAGGTCTCTCACTGTGTTGGCCACGCGCTCTCCTTGCAACAGAACCTCCACTTCCCAAAGGTGCTTCGATGAAATCTTCAACGTGTACCCGGCTGAAGGGAAGTTACTTTGGGCAAGCGGCGGTGGCGTTGTTTCGTCCATTGCGCGCGTTACCGTGTCGTGGTCAGCAACCGTTTGCTCTCGTCCCCACTGAAATACCGCACGCGTTGTTGCTTTGAGTGCTCTGCGCTGCACATTCCATGAAGCAATCGATAGTAGCGGTAGCGAGAAACCCAATTCATCCTCGGCGCTACCTTTCTTCCCAGGGGAGATCAAAACGCGATAGTTTGAGATGGACAGCGCACAGCGCAGCATCTGTCTGTCATCGTCAATGGGGTACAATAGGGCCGCCGCCTCCCCCTCGATGGCGGTGGGGCAGATATCAATAAAGCTTGTCTCACCAACTAAGTGGTCGGGTGATGTGCCTTTCGACATGGGGTGTTGACTTTGTGTACACCTTTCCTATTTAACCGCAAAAGAGGGGAAAAAAAGGGAAAAGAAAAGTTGGACTCGCCCACCACACACCCCAAAATAAGATGCGCATTTGCGTGAGAGGCAGCTGGAGAGAGGAAGGTGGCAGCTGCCGTCCCTTTTCTTGCCAAAGACGATTCAGGAATCCCTCGTCATTTATCTTTCGATTCTTCGTGTTTGTGGAATCTCCCTCTTCTGCCTCCCCCCGCTGTTGCCAACACGGGGGTATGGGGAAAAAGTGGGAAAGCAAAAAGATATTTCGCATGAAACAAATGTGCAGTGACCTCAGCAGCAGCAACAGCCGAGAAAGTAAAGTAGAAGAGAGGGGAAGCAACTGGTACGGCTGTATCATTTAGCACAGTAAGAGGGCGAGAGGGCAAAATATTGGAACCAATACGCACACATATATATATATATATATTTATAAACACACAGAAAAGGAAGGGAACTGACGGCCACGCCTCCGCATTCCCCACTCTCAACCCCCACTCCAACCCAACCCATCATCCTCAGAGTAAATCAACATAATTACTTACTGATCGGTTCCCACCCGATGCTGCGCCGAGAACATTTTCTCGCACAGCATGGCCATTGCATGTTCTCCCTGCACCTTTGTGGATGTCACTGTACGTGCCAAAGGCACCTGGGACATGAATACGCGATTTTACAGCATCGGTGCCCTCAACATTAAGTCTCTCTTCTACATAGAAGCCATCACTGCCAGCAAAAAGTGCATGATTAGCTACTGGTGGGTCCAACTTGGAAAAAGACGACGGGAAGTTGGAGGTAGCATGCGACCTCCACGAAGAATCAATCGCCCCCGATGAATTCTGAGAATACGCAGCACTGGCCTTTGCAGCATCCGCACTCACATGATTCCCCCCCTCTTCTTTTTTCTTCGTCTCACCTATCTTTTCCCTCTTCTCAATTGCGGTTGTAAGCGTCGCGGCACGAGCAGACGCGTGCACAAGATGCGTTGTTGCGCCAACACCGTGACGCGCAAGGAGGTCGGCAATGCAATTTTTTGACTTCTCCATCAAAGACTCCCGCTTAAAAACAGAGGCTGCAGCCACAGAAGCATCGCCTGCTGTCGCAGTTGCCGCGGTTGCACCACCGTCCACCACTAAAACAGTGATGGATGCGCTCACACTGCGCGACGGGCCCAAGGGTTCCAAGCTGAAGAGACGCCTTGCTCGTGCGCGGGCGCGAGGGGTCAGTGGCGGTGTGCTGGCGTCAGCCGCATCCATCTTGAAACATGCGCTTGATATCACCGCCTTCAGCTCGTCCTTGCGCTGGGTGCGGAACACAGTATACACCTCTGCGTCGGCGTCTTCAGCAATGATATCTGCAACGGTGTCGAAGGCGATGAGAACCGTCACCGGTGGACAGTTCGCCGGCTGTGCGCACAGCAGTTCGTCCGCCGCGTTGCCGCCTCTGGCGAGTTGCAGCGGTCCAACACTTTCCTCCGTCAGTCGCAATTCAAACTGCCGTGCCAACTCATTGCCATGGTGACGCTGCTGAAACAAATGCACCACGTACCGCAAAAGGTGAGGCAGCGTGAGTATAGCCCCGCAGTTCGCAAGTACCGCCAGCGAAAGATGCGCCCACGCCATGTGGAGTTCAGAGGTTTTTTTCTCATTTTTCACAAACGCCTGCAACCGCGACACAAAAGACAGAACAAATGGCAAAGAGGAGGCGCCGCGGACTTGCATCACTGCCTCCACCACCCGCCCTACCTCAATAACACAGGACGGCGTCACGGGCTGCGTGCTGGCAAGAACCGACCAAACCCAATTTTCCGCGACGGCCATGTCCTGCTCGTTCGTCACAAGTGGGGGTGGCGCTTCCGCCGTCACCGTCTCTGCGTCTGGAATGCTGCTGCCCACGTCCACATCTTGCGATGGAATTGTCCCCGCAATGAGACCCACTAGCACCTGTGCTGCATAGGCCTGTAACGCATTGTGTGTCGCAAGGAAAGGTTCGATGGTGCCGGAGAGATCAATGTCACCGCGGTCAACCAAAGGAACGGCGCGCACATATGATGCAGCCACAGCCAAAGCTCGCAGAGACCATACCGCATTATTTGAAATCGCCTCCTGCGCGCAGGCCAAAAGCCCGACTAGTAAAAGGTGCAACTGCGGTGCATTTCGCCACTTGTGGGTTGTGTACATAAGTGTCATTAATAGCTGAAGGAGAAGTTCGTTGAAATCATCTGTTCGCTTGCCTTTATTCATACATTTTCGGACTACTTCGAACAACACCTGCGGACGTCCACCTGTCATGCGTACCTCGTTCGTGCAAACAATAAGAGCACGAATGATGCCCTCCTGCACATTTGCCGCCTCATCCTCCTTTTTTCGGGGTGCAATGACTGTTTCGCATAAGTACTGGCAGACCGTGAAGCCAAGCTGCTGCGGCCGCCATTCCAACGCCCGTGCCAAAGACCGAAAAGTGATAAATGCAAACCCCGGCAACGACCATCCGTCATGAGACACAATGAACTCCAAGACAAGCTGCAAGAATTGATGGATTCCGGCAATTGACACGCAGCCAACCACTGCTCCAATACCCCATGACGCTGCACTTATGCACGCAATATCGCGTTGTTTCCGTTCGGCCGGAAGTGCAACGCTGTCGAATGGACCACTTTTGATGTGCTGTTGGAGCACCGTGAATGGTTCACGCTCTATCCATTCAGATTTGTCCCCACTGCGCATCGCATTCATAAGGTTGCGCAAAAATGGCATTATGTGGCAATTGACATTGTTCGCCAAGGCGCCATGTAGACAAAATATAACGTTCCCTAGTGCCACAACTGCGGCATAACGACACCGCAGTGTGGCAGCATCATCATTTGATACTGTCTCTAAACACATGGTCTCCAGTGCAGGAAGTAGTTTCCCTTTACTGTCCGCAAGAAGGCGACAAGAGTGCTCGCCATCCACACGACCCGCAAGTTTGTAACATAAGATGGTCAGCACATCCGCCGCACCGATGCGGTACTCTACTGTGGAATAAGAAAACAACATGGAGCAAATGCTAATGCAGTGCGGCACAAATCCACTAACATCATCGAAATGCGCAATTAAATCCCGCAGCATCTGCACCCCTACCATAACACGCTGCACCTTCTGTCGCTTGAGGTATATGGTCAGTAACTTAGATATCTTGCGGCAGACACGTGGGATGCGCTCCGGATTGCTCGCAATGTAATTCTGCAGCTTGCCAAGCGCTTCTCTAACAGGCCCGTTCTGTGGGTCATCGGAGTAAACGGCTATTACAAAGTTCTTGAAGCGCGGCCCCTTTTGCGGCGCACACGTGTTACCCATTTCCCAGCAAACGTTTAAAACCTTTCGCCAGGTGGGTGCTGTGAGAACCGTCGTCAGAAGAGCAACGACCAGAGAGAGAGAGAGAAAGAAAGAGAGACAGATAAGGCGGAGGAAGGGAAATCAAAGGAAGCAACAGTAGCAACTACAACAACAACAAAAAAAAAATAAAAAATAAAACTGGGCCCTTCCCACTCCCTTTAAAGACAAAGAGAAAGGTTTTACACACACGCACAGACACACAGAGCCCAATTCACATCCCATTTTGTTCGGTCTTTTGTTTCGGCACCCCCACACACCTCTTCGTATCCCTCCTTCCCTGCTGCGCTACTCCACTCATCGCACAACAGTCCCCCCGTGTTACCGTACAATGCCGTCATGTATGAGTCGGTCCAGCTCGGCGCACACTGCCTGTAACGGAAGCCCCATCACATTGTAGTAATCGCCATCAATTGCGGTAATGAGGCACGCCGCGGTGTCCTGAATTCCGTAGCCGCCAGCCTTCCCCTCCCAATTGCAGCGTTCTGAAGTATACGCGGCAATCTCCTCCTCGACCAACGGTGCAAATTTAACTGTCGTGCGCACCTTTATCTCACGCCAGCAAAGTCTATCACTCCCGTCCCCACCAATGCTGCTTCTGCTCTCCTCGTCACGCACCGTCAGCACAACACCACTCCACACTTCGTGTTGAGTACCAGAGAAAAGACGCAACATCGCCGCCGCCTCATCCGCTGTGGCAGGCTTTTCAATGATGACAACCCCACCGTGTGGCGCCGGCATTGTGACCACCGTATCCGCTGCGATGAGAATATCGAACGGCGACGGACTTTCAGAAGCATTTCCCTTCTCATCCCTTCCGCCGAGTTCCTGTTGCTGCTGCTGCCGCTGTAGTTGACGCACGACTTCTTCCGCCTTCCGTCGGGCGGTGCGCAATGCATAGTCACCGCCGCAGGTAAATTCATCCTTGGACAAATCCTCCGCAAAGCCAGATGCACACACCTCGATGTGGTGCAGGCCAACCCCTGCAATTATCTCCCGTCGGCGCGGCGAAGCAGAGGCAAGCACGATACGTTTGCGTCGCAGGAGATCGAGATGCTGCAGTACCATAACGAGCTTCCGGCCTCGTTTTGAAACGGCGCCTATTCGCCTCCCCTGATCGTGCTACTTCCTGCTGTTCCCCTTATCACCACTAGAGAAGGCAACAATAAGAACACAGCACAGACAGGAAAAAACAACAACAACAACAACAACAAAGGAGGTAAAGAGGAACGACTAAATTTTTCTTATTATCTACAAAAACACCCATTTATTCCCCTTTTCTTTTTTTTTACCAATTCCTCCCCTTCCTCTCTCTTTCTGTCCTTAGACAACATCTCTCTGTTCCTCTTCTCCCCTCTTACACACTTTATTGCAGGCGGTGGGGAAGACGTGAGCTAACCGTCCTCCTCTTCTTATCGACGGCCAATAGCGCCGCCGTTTTTGTTGGAATTCCTTTTCCCTCTAAACAATATCCTTCTATTTTTTCTACTCCTCCCCTTCCAATTCCTGTTGTCGACGCCGAAGGCGCTGAAGAAGCGATGCAGAAGCAATCGCCTCGGGGACTCTTATCTCCTCCTTGCCACCGGCCGATTCAGTTGCATTCGCATTGTGCGCTGTTCCTTTTCCCGTCCTCGGCAGCAAAGGAGGCGAGCGGTCCTCATCCTCATCCTCCGTCTGCCGTTCTGTTTTTCTGCTCACCTTTCGGCGCTGTTCGGCTCTTCTTTGTCGCGGCGGCGTTGGCAACTCAGCTGATTTTCTCCCACTCTCTTTTTCTTCGTTTCCCTCCTCCTCGTCGCTCTGCAGCTCCGGCGGTAAACCACGCTTGACGCGCCCTCCCGCCCGCATTGGCGGTGAATTGCTGTGCATCTGCTGCTGCTGTCGCAACCCTTGGGAGAAGACGCATGCACCTTGCGGGAGGCGCTGGGCTGCAGGGACGGCGCGGCTCTTCAACGTCTCAGCCATCCGTACCTCATTCTCCGTCGTCTCCACAAATTCCTCTGCCGCGGTGATGACCTCCGCCGCATCGGATAGCGCGCGAGAAACACGCTCCCAGCGACTCTCTGTGCAGAGCGGGACCATCTGCTCGAGCGCAGCGACAGATTCTTTCCTCACTTCTTTCAGCTCTGCCAAGTGAACAGCGCAGGCATCACTGGGAGTGGCGTCCCACGCAAGCGTTTCCTTCGCCCTTGCCACAGCGAGTTTTGCTTGTGTTATGCACAAACGCAGCCCCGTTCCACCAGGAAGCAACAGGGTCTCCCGCAACGCCACATCACCAAAAAATGGCAGCTCCTTCACGAACGCAGCGCGTACGGCATCTGCCTTCCTGCGCCAGGCTCGTTCACGCTGATTCAGCAAGGTGCTATCCCCCACACCAGAGACGTTCTTGCCAGAGTACTCACCCTTGGCACGAGACAAATCTTCATTTGCATTCTCGTACCGCCGCAGGGCACGTGAGACAGACTCGTATGCTTCTTCAAACCGTTCGTCAAGCGTCACAATGATCCCTTTTTTCTTATACAACAGCCCCTCGAGACGAGCTAAATCTGATTCCAGATTCGGCGGCAACACCAACGCCAATTCCATTTTATGAACAAGCTCTTGTACCTCCTCAATTTGCTTCTGCACCCCTTCCCGCATCTCGCGGGCTGCCTCCCGTTGCTGTAACATTTCCCGCAACTTTTCCACTGCAGGTAGCTCGTCAAATTTTGTCACGTCTGCTGAAAGTTGAATGGCCAGGGGTACAAAATTGGAAGGAGTGGCGGTGCGGTCCAAGGGCTCTATTTCGGGCGCATCGGCGATCACGTCCTTCTCTTTCGCCGGTCGCATGTAGTACACAACACTGTTCTCATGTTGGTACTTCTCATAGAGCGCGGCGATTTCGCGAAGGAGAATGTGGGCAAGTGGAAAGACCCTCAGCAGATCCGACCCCTCTAGCATCTCCGCAAGTTTTCTAAAGGACTGCTCTGGCGAGCTGTCATCATCCATTTCAGCATCGTTCTTGGACGCTCGAGCACCTAAAAAAGTAGCACTCAAACGTCCGAGCAGCTGCCAGCCACCGCTCTGCCTCATATTTTTATTGAAGGACGATGATGACGCAATGCTGTTCATAAACTCCAGCTCCACGTTGTTGACAATTTTTCTGGCATACGTAATGTGTCCAAGAACAAGTGACATGTCCGGAACCTTCGCTGCTTTGTTGTAGTGCTCTGCCCGGTGACGGTGGTACGCCGCAAGAAGCAACGCCGGCAGGAAACGAAGAGACTCCGAGGTGTAGGCCGAGGGAAGCCTCACCGTGTATGCCTTGTGGGCGAGCTTCGCAAGTGAGTCGTGTTTCTCTGAGAAATTACCGGAGGTGGCGGCGTGCACGTACTTTGCAACAGCCATACATAATTCTGCCATCTCGCGGAGAGTACGAAAATCAAAGTGCGTCTGAACGAGGTAACAGTCAGTCGCTGAAAGCAGTTTGTCCGATTCCTCCGCCAGCGCTTGCTCTCCGTACGTCGCAATTTCAGCCCCTAGTTGAAAACTCTTAAACGCGGCTCTGGTGTCCCCGTTGAGGGAAACGCTCGGACAGGAGCTGGGCGTCAAACTGCGGGCGTAATGGGCATGCACGCGCTCCATGAATGCAATGCCCGCATTACAGTTCGTTACAGCAGCGTTGTAAAAAAGAACAAACATCTCCATCGCTGGACCACTCACGGAAACGTTGCGATCCCCTATATGGACAGAAGGTAATGCAAGTTTTTCCACCAGCTCAGTTGGCCACGAGGATGTTGTCGTGTGTAGGGAGAGCAAGAGAGAGCTATGCAACTTCACAGCGCGGGATCCCGTGACGGGATCGCTGTAGAGAGTGAGTGGGGATGCCGCATACGACGTGAGGGCGTTAAGTGATGTCACCACAGCGGGAGTGGGGGTCAATCCGACGTCGTGCAACAAGTCGTGCAGCAGCGTATTCCACCGCACTGGACCTTCACGGGTGGCAGCTGGAAGCATCACTGGACGACGCACCTTTTCTATATCTTCTCTTTTCCCCAACGAGGCGGTGGTGACACCAGTGTGTGTGTGTGTAAGTGTTGCAAAAAAAAGCAACCCTCTTTCTCTCTCTCTTACTCTCGCTCACAAAGAGAAAAAAGGATACTTCCACTCCCCCGAAGCAAACGATACTCCTCACACACACACCCTTTCCTTCCTTTACTGGCTGTGTGGACTGGCACTGGTGTCGCAAATGCGAACAGGACTAAAAAGAAGGCGGGGGAGGGGGAAAACCAGAGAAAATAAACAGGAGGAAAAAGGTGAGTAAAAATATATATAATAATAATAATAATAATAATAAAATGAAGAGAGTTTCCCCCCTCCCCTCATGCACAATCACACAAAAATCGTCACAAAAAAGCTGGTTGGCACGCAGTTTTTCGACTCGTTTTCCTCTACCAGCAGTTATGCTTTCTTCTTTTCTTTTTTTCATTCCCTTTGCGGCGAGTGCATGCGGCTGCGGCAGTTGTCACGCGGTCATGTGTACGACGACAGATTTATGGTAAGACGTTGCGGAACTGCTGTCGCCGTGTGGTTGTGCTGCGACCCTCCCTCCATCTTTAGGGACGACTCGTGCGGTGTTTCCCCAAAACCCTGCAGTTGCATGAGTCGACGCAACGTCGCAGCCTTCTCGCTGCAAAGTGATTGAATGACAGACTTCAACTCGCACACATGATGGCGCATCAACTGCTGCGTCAGCGCGGCGCAGGCATCGGGGTAGAGGGAAAACATCGTGTCTGTCGCGTCAACGTAAAAAGATGATTCTGCCTCCAATATCAGCAGGGCGCGAATGAAGAGACGGACGCGTTCCAGCACCAGCGAACTGTGCTTCTCTTGGAGGAGCATTTCCTTGTGAATGATGCACAGCAGTGCGTGCTGTACGCATGGCGACCACTGCCGCCGCAGCTCGGGCTGATGCGCCGAGGAACACGCAGTAAAAATAATGCTGCACAGACGCACGTCTTGATGCATTTTGGGAAACACGCGCTGCAGCAACGCCAACGGGTCAGCGCTTCGGGCCAGAGCCTCCATAAGGCGTGATAATGCGGCCTCCATAACACGCGATCCCACAAACAACGGCTGCTGCTGCTCGTCCGCCAAATTAATAAGTTGCAGAAGCACAAACCCACACGCAGTCGCAAGTGCCATCTCCCGTCGCTTCTCCTCCGAAATGTGCTGCATGTACGCCCTTGTAGCCGGTGTGGGCTCGTCACCCACGACTAAAACATCAACGTCAAAAGAACGCAAAACGGTGTTGATGCAGGCAACGCTGCAAGAAGCCTCAACGGCAAGGCGTAGACTGGCGAGAGAGCCTACACAGGGGCGATGATGAGTTGCCAGCGCCAACAAGACCGTTTCTACTTCAGCCGCAGACTTCTCACAGGTTGTTGCCGCGGCAATCTCCAGCAAATAAGTGGCATCCTCATCGTTTAGCGCTTCATCACCCTCCTGCAAGAGAAGCCCAAACGCTGTGCTTGCTATGAGTTCCTGATGCTTTGTGGATAGAAGGGGCACAATGGTTCGTAAGGGACGCAATGCTACGCCTGGAGTACATATCACCAAACACAAAAGGCATCCTGCCGCGTGGCGGACGGTTGGGCCCAGCGCCTGCACAGCGGAGCACATATTCTCCAGAACACCAAGAACGGCAGCAAGATCGGCGTGTGTGCATTCATCTAGAGTTGTTAAACTCATATCATACGCCGGTTCAAATCCGTGCACCATTGCCATGGATGCCACCAACTGGTTGCTTATTAAAGCCACAGCCGCCTGCCCACTCAATGACGCAAGGGCCTCCAATGCAGCCTCTTCTGCCTGCAACCAACCTGCCGCTGCCGCTCGTGTGCGGCAAGCCGAAAGCGCCAAGACAACACGCCCACATCCGCCGTGAACAATGGCCTCGTAGTCCGCATCACATCTCTCCAGTGTTTCTAATAGTGTCATCAAAGCTAAAACTACACGGCGTACACTATTGTCATCTGCCAAATTGCAGTTGATAAAACTCTCTGCGAGCAGACAACTCTCTTCGCAACAAAAGACGGAGCTCTGGATAACTCTCCGCATGCCGCTCACTAACATGACACGCCAGGGAAGCAAAAACGGTGTTGAAATATCCTTTACTCGGTTACCATATTTCTCCACGACGATGAGAAGGGCATTAACTGCAGGCCGTATAAAAAGAGGCTCCACTTCCGCAAGCGAAACGGACCAAAAAAGCAAATTCAGGTAGCGCACAAGAGCATCGCCCTCCAAATTCACGTATAGATCTGGCTGCCGCATCATTTCAGTCATCATTGACAAGACCGCCAGTTTGGACCCCACTTCACTTGCCACCATTTGCACCTGCTTCTCGTCGTCGTCCCTCTTTCCATTCATGTTCGTTTTCTTCGCTGACGACAACTCCCCCATTTCCTCCTCGTGGTTGCTATTCATTAGCGGCTCATGCCTGGTGCACTCTCCACCACAAAGCTGCGCTGGCTTCCCTCGCATAATGAGCTCCATTTCCTCCAGAAATACGCTTAAGTGCTTCCGGTCGGAGTTTTGCAGGATAATACGAGCCACATTTATCCATGCATTACGAGTTTCCGTAGAAACCGCCGCATCCAACATTTGTGCAATTCTCAAAAGTGAAGCACGAAAAAAATCCACCGTACTAACAACACTGCAGCAAACCCCAAGCATCTCTGCTGCTGCTCGGGAAACGGAGTCGTTAAAGCGACCATTGCCTTCCAAAAGCCCCAACATCTCCTTTTTAAGGGCGAGGGAATTTAAAGCAGTCAGAAAAGAAGCAGATACATTTGCCATCGCATCCGTCGGTGTATGTTTTGGATCATTCACAGCGAGACGCACCGTGTTCAGCACGGCACTGGTGACTTCATCATGGAGTGCTCGAGAGGAGAATAGAATTTGTATCACGCCCCGGACGCAGACATTCACACCTTTGTTCACCATCGCCTGCTCATGCGGTAATAAAATCAAAAACAGCTCGAGTAAAAGAACAAAGACGAATGGGTCAACTATTGTTGTCATGGCAGGCAAAAGGAGTTGTGCCACCAAAGCGGCCGGTAAGACGGAATTGATGAGTTGCGAGTGTCGTGGCGTCATGCGTACCATTGCCACCAATGCGGCAGCCGCAACTGTCATGCCGCCACTCACACCGTGTTGCCTCAACACACGCAGTACAAAAGAGATCGCCATGGATGCGGTGGCACTGCTTCCGGTCCCGTGCATCTCGCCCAGAGCGAGTAGGACACCGCTGAGGCGGTAGGCATCCTCGCCGTCGTTGAAGTTTTTCACGACGACGGAAGTGAAGTCGTCAAGTTGTCTTGTAATTACCGCCAGACGTGCCAACAACTGTGTTGCTGCACGCCGCACTGCCCATACACTCGATGACAGCCAGTGTCTTTCCACAAACGTAAACCATTCCATCGCTGATGTCTTCACCCATTCGTGTTCACTGTCACACCGCGCGAAAATGCCGTTGAGGCAGCACAGAACGTTCCACGCCGTCACTACCGGGTCCGCCTCGGCGGCAGCGCACCACTCCCGCAGGCTAACAAACACACGCTGCACACATTCCTCCCCCGCCCTCTCCGTGCAACCACCAACAATCAGTGAAACCGCACGCCACGTGGCAACTGCCTGCGGCTTTTGCGTCATATTCGGCAAAAGACGTTGATAGTCATCAAGGCATTCCTCTGCCACACCTACAAGTCGTGTCCCCCCCATGTCACTAATTTCGCCTTGTTCTTCTGCTGCACAAGGTACACCGTCGCGGTTGGCATCAGACACATCCGCAAGTGCTTTTGCCAAGATGCCACGCTTACCCATGCCATCTGAGCAGACCAACCAGGGCGTACCAGTAAACAGCGCATACGCCGCAGACCACACTGACTGCTGTGATGAGAAACCGGCCGCCTCAAGCGTATCTAACAACGCGAATACAAGCTTCAGCTCAATGTCGGACGCACCAACTTCTGCAAGTACGGCGCATGCGGAACTCGCAGCACGCGCATAAAGTGATGTACCAGAAGGATTATTAACAAGAAGACTTAAAAAAACCCGCACGGACATCTTGAGATTCGTGACAGTTGCGGGAGACAACTGATCACGCTGATGTTTGAGTAGCAGAAGCGCAATTCGATTAAAGTACTCAACACGTCTAAAAAAAATCACCTCCACCTTCGGAGGTGTAATGCCAATACTAAAAGATGCAAAAAGGGCACGAAGGGTCTCCAATACGCATGGCCGCTGCAAAAACTCGGCTGGCATGGCAAGGAGTGCTTTTGCGTGCAGCGCGACGGATGTTGGGAGTGGTTTATCAGTTTCAATTTCAGTACTTGCGGTGTATAACCGCCGCAGCAACGCCCGACCACAAACTTCGTTTTGATGCGCAAGACACGCCATGGCTTCGCTTGTCACTTGCATGAGGGATGGGTGCCGCACTGGTATCTGCAAAAGTTGTGCCCAAAGCACGGTGGCAAAGTCACTAGTTGCAACAATCATGCGAACGACGCCCGTCAAACACAACAAGGCAGTATGTGTAACACTCTTCGTACATGATGCATCGAGAAAACGTACGAGAATCTCCACAAGGGAACCGCGGAACATGTCGGAACCCATACGCGACGCCCACAGTAACACAGCCCGAGAGACAATGGTTGGCATGTACATGCGGTCATCATACGGGGTTGGTTGCAACAGCTCAAAAATACGGGCTACAGCATTCTCCATCCACTCTGATGAGACGGTCTGAACTAAAAGTTCCCCAATTGCCACTGAAAGGACACGTTGTGTCGCATGCGTCATCGCACGAGGGTGAAATATACGCCTGATCATATCTCCAGCGTCAGCAGCATTTGTTGCGGCAAAGTGTGTCCAATCACTTCCGTGCTGTGCGGTATTCAACAAAAACCCAATGACGGTACCCAAAACATTTTCAATCTTGGAAGATATTTCCTCTGATTCGGCAAGACGGAGCATCATGTCAAGAATGACGTTGAATTGAACCGTATCCAGCACAACGCCCTCCTTTAGCAGGACAAATATGCTTTCCAGTGCCTTTTCTCGTACTACAGGAATAGAGCAACCCACCGCCTTGCGTAAGTAATCTACCCAAGGTGCCGCCAAAACCAGCCGCCTTGGAAGCGAATTTAATGGTGTGGGGCTGCCCGTTCGCTCCTCTTGTGGATATTGTTGTTGTTGTTGTTGTTGTTGTTGAGCGCATTTATAAGGCTGTAGAATGATATATGGAACTAGCTCCAGGGCAGCCAACCGCGGAGCGACACTTACTGTCTTGACAGGGTGGGGAAGATGGTACCGCGGTGTGCAGTCAATATTTACTGGAGACCGATGGAGAAAAACCCGTAGCAGTTTCAGTGCAGCATGAAGTATGACGTTGTTGCCGCTACGATCCTTCGCTAACCGCCTCGCCGCGTCCCACAGCTGTGGGATGTGGTGGGCGGCGCTGACAGAAGGTTTCGTCCGCACCAAAAGAGCATCCATGGCGCCCGCCCATGACTGGACGGCGATGCACGAGAGCGGATCCTCTAAGACGCTCCCCACCGCAAACTCAAACACCTCCGAGACGGCGCCGCTCGACACCAACGCCTTCCACTCATCGTTTCCAAGCACCGGCACCCGCAGCTCAATAAATTGCACTGCTGCCGCATATTCCGTCTGATCCTGTACACTTAATGGCTTGGCCTGCAGCTGGGCAGCAATGCGTCGGAGTTCCTTGAGCAACAACTGGAGCCAATTCGTGCTGACGTCACTCACCATTGCAAGAAATATCTCAAAAAAAAAAAAAAAAAAAAAAAAAAAAAAAAAACCTACTACTCTACCGAGAGCTTGTGGGAGAAGCAAAAAAAAAAAAAAAAAAAAAAACAAGCAAGAGAGAAACAGAGAAAAAGAGAGAGAATTAAAACAAAGTGCTTTACCACCTACCCCAAATCGCAATTTAAAAACGACAAAAAAAAAAGGAAAAGCTACAGTTTTAAACCAGGAATAA